TTCTGTGCCTGGTGGCCTGCTGCCAAATCATTTTTTCTGTTGGAGTACATGAGCCAGAGACCTCCTGTTCTACTGGCTTGTTGTTGTCCCTCGCACCTGTGTGTTTACCAGTGCCCTGTGAGTTCCCAAGCTTCAATTCATTTGGCAACATCTGGAAGCCATAATTATGTTCTGCAGTAATTATGCAAGTTACTTATTAAGAAATAGATCAGAGGAGAAAACTTGTGCTCAACTTCTTGGGAAATTCATAGGAAAAGAGAGTTTAGCTTTAAATAAATAAAAATATTCTGCTAGGAAAATGTAGAAGGTGTTAATGCAGAGAATCCCAGTAAGACACTTCACAAGAAGATTGCTCCTAAGACATATAATCATCAGATTCTCTAAGGTCAAAATGAAAGAAAAAATGTTAAAGGCAGCTAGAGAGAAAAGTCAGGTCATCTGTAAATGGAAGCTCATCAGACGAAAAATGAATCTCTCAGCAGAAATCCTACAAGCCAAAAGAGATTGGGGGCCAATATTCAATATTCTTAAAGAAAAGAAATTCCAATCCAGAATTTCATACCTGGACAAACTAAGCTTCATAAGCAAAGGAGAAATAGAGGTTTTTTTCAAATAAGCAAATGCTGAAAGAATTTATTACCTCCAGAACTGCGTTACAAGAACTCCTAAAGGAAGCACTAAATGTGGAATGGAAACAGTGTTACCAGGTACTACAAAAACATACTAAAGTACACAGACTGCCGACACTATAAAGCAACCACATAAACAAATCTGCAAAATAACCAGCTAACAGCATGATGACGGGAGCAAATCCACATCTATCAATACTTACCTTGAATGTAAATGAGCTAAATAATCCAATTAAAAGGCACAGAGTAGAAAGCTGGATAAAGAACCAAGACCCATTGGTATGCTGTCTCCAAGAAACCTGTCTTATGTGCAGTGTCACACATAAGCTCAAAACAAAAGAGACCAAGAAAAATCTACCAAGCAAATGGAAAACAGAAGAAAGCAGGCATCACAATACTAATTTCAGGCAAAACAGATTTTAAATCAACAAAGATCAAAAAAGGCAAAGAAGGGCCATTACATGGTGGTAAAGGGTTAAATTCAACAAGAAGAAATAATTTCGTAAAGATATATGCAGGTAACACAGAAGCACTCAGATTCATAAAGCAATTTCTTAATGACCTTCAAAGAAACTTAAGGCTCCCACACAATAATAGTGGGACTTTAACACCTCACTGACAATATTAGACAGATTATAAAGACAAAAAAGTAACAAAGAAGTTCAGGACTTGAACTCAGCACCGGATCAAATGGACCTGAGAGACATCTGCAGAACTTTTTACCCTAAAACAACAGAATATACATTTTTTCACTGCCATAGTCTAAATCAATCACATAATTGGAAATAGAACACTCCTCAGCAAATGCAGAAGAACTTAAATAATAGCAACCAGTTTCTCAGACCACAAAGCAATCAAATTAGAAATCAAGATTAATAAATTCACTCAAAACCATACAATTACATGGAAATTGAATAATCTGCTCCTGGATTACTTTTGGGTAAATAATGAACAAAAGGGGGAAATCAGTAAGTTCTTTTAAATGAATGAGAACAAAGATACAACATACTGAAATCTCTGGGATACAGGTAAGGCAGTTTTAAGAGAGAGATTTATAGCAGCAAATGCCTTCTTCAAAAAGTTAAACAGATCTTGGCCACACGCAATGGCTCATGCCTGTAATCACAGCACTTTGGGAGGCGAAGGTAGGCAGATCATGAGGTCAAGAGATTGAGATCATCCTGGCCAACATGGTGAAACCCTGTCTCTACTAAAAATACAAAAATTGACTGAGCATGGTCACGTGTACCTACAGTCCCAGCTACTTGGGAGGCTCAGGCAGGAGAATTGCTTGAACCCAGGAGGTAGAGGTTTCAGTGAACTGAGATCACACTACTGCACTCTAGCCTGGTGACACAGCAAGACTTCATCTCAACAAAAAAAAAGAAAAAAAGTTAGGAGATCTCAATTTAGCAACCTAACACTACAACTAAAACAGCTAGATAATCAAGCAAAAAACCAACCCCAAAGCTAGCAGAATACAAGAAATAACCAAAATTAGAGCTGAATTGGAGGAGATTGAGACACAAAAAACTATTCAAAAGATCAGTGAATCCTGGAACTTGTTTTTTATTTGTTTTTTTTTTTGTTTAAATTAATAAAGTAGACTGCTAGCTAGGCTGATAAAGAAGAAAAAAGAAAAACCGGGTGTGGTGGCTCTTGCCTGTAATCCCAGCCCTTTGGGAGGCTGGGCAGGTGGATCACCTGAGGTCGGGAGTTCAAGACTAGCCTGACCAACATGGAGAAACCCTGTCTCTACTTAAAATACAAAATTAGCCAGGTGTGGTGTCACATGCCTGTAATCCCAGCTACTCAGGAGGCTGAGGCAGGAGAATCGTTTGAACCCAGGACACAGAGTTGCGGTGAGCTGAGATCATGCCCTTGCTCTCCAGCCTGGGCAACAAGAATGAAACTCTGTCTAAAAAAAAAAAAAAAAAGAAGAAGAAGAAGAAAAAAGAAAATATGTATAAACACAATCAGCACCATCAGAAACGGCAAGTGGGGTGTCACCACTGACCCCATAGAAATACAAATGATCATCAGAACATTATGAATATTTCCATGCACATCAAGTAGAAAATCTAGAAGAAATGGATAAATTCCTGGAGACATGTACTCTCACAAGACTGAACCAGGAAGAAATTGAATCTCTGAACAGACCAGTAACAAGCTCTGAAATTGAATCAGTAACAAATAGCCTACTAAAACTATTCCAAAAAAAATAAGGAGGAAGGACTCCTCCCTAACTCATTCTATGAGGCCAGCATCATCCTGATACCAAAAACTGATAAGGACATGACACAAAAAAAAACTTTAGACCACAATCCTTGATGAAGATCAATGCAGAAATCCTCAACAAAATGCTGGCAAACTGAAACCAACAACACATCAAAAATCTTATCCACCACAATCAAGTAGGCTTTATCCTTGTGATGCAAGATTGGTTCAACATACACAAATCAATAAATGTATTTCATCACATAGAACAAAAGACAAACACCACATGCTTATTTCAATAGATGCAGAAAATGTTTTTGATAAAATTCAGCATCCCTTCATCTTAGAAACTCTGAATAAACTAGGTATGAAGGAACATACCTCAAAATAATAAGAGCCAAATATGACAGACCTACAGCCAAGATCATACTGAATGGGCAAAAAATGGAAGCATAGGCCAATGGAACAGTATAGAGAACCCCAAAGTAAGATCACACACCTCCAACTATCTGATCTTTGATGAAGCTGACAAAAAAAGCAATGAGGAAAGAACTCCCTATTCAATAAATGGTGCTGGGAGAACTGGCTAGCCATATGCAGACGATTGAAACTGGACCCCTTCCTTATAACTCAAGATGGATTAAAGACGTAAATTTAAAATTCAAACTATAAAAATCCTGGAAGACAACCTACACGATACCATTCTGGACATAGAAACAGTCAATTTTAAGACAAAGACTCTAAAAGCAATTGCAACAAAAGCAAAAATTGACAAGTGGGATCTAATTAAACTACAGAGCTTCTGCACAGCAAGAGAAACTATCAACAAACAGGTGACCTACAAAATAGGAGAAAGTATTTTCAAACTGTGCATCTAATGAAAGTCTAATATCCAGCATCTAAAAGGAACTTAAACAAATTTATAAGAAAAAAAAACCCATTAAAAAGTGGGCAAAGGACATGAACAGACACTTTCAAAAGAAAACATACATGAGGCCAACAAACATGAAAAAAAGCTCCACATCACTGAGTATTAGAGAAATGCAAATCAGAACCACACTGAGATACCATCTCACACCAGTCAGAAGGGGTATTATGAAAAAGTCAAAAAACAACAGATGCTGGTAAAGCAGCAGAGAAAAAGGAACACTTCAACACTGGTGGTGGGTTTGTAAATCAGTTCAACTATTGTGGAAGACAGTGTGGCAATTCCTCCAAGACCTAAAAACAGAACTGCCATTCAACCCAGCAATCCCATTACTGGGCATATACCCAGATGAATTTTTTACTTTGTCATAAAGACACATGCACATATATGTTCCTTGCAGCACTATTCACAAGAGCAAAGACATGTAATCAACTTAAAGGCCCATCAATAGTATATTGGTTACAGAAAATGCAGTACAGATACACCATGGACTATTATATAGTCATTAAAAAAAGGAACAAGATCATGCCCTTTGCAGAAACATGGATGGAGCTGGAGGTCGTTATCCTTAGCAAACTAATGCAGCAACAGAGAAACAAATACTGTGTGTTCTCACTTACAGGTGAGAGCTAAATGATGAGAATACATGGACACATAGAGGGGAACAACCAACAACCCACACTGGGGCCTCTCAGAGGACAGAGTATAGGAGGAGGAGGGAAAGATCAGGAAAAGTAACTACTGAGTACTAGGATTAACACTGGGTGATAAAATAGTACAACAAACCGCCATGACACAAGTTTTGCTGTGTAACAAACCTGCACATGTACCCCTGAACTTAAAATTAAAGTTAAATTTTAAAATGCATTATATTTATGAATAATAACCGAACATTTAGTGTCTTGTATGCATGAAAAGTATTTTTGCTAACAGACCTTAGATGATTCAACTCAACATACCCTTGGATTTTACTAAAAATATAACTATTTTCCAAGCTATTAATAATGATTTTTCTCTTTCAACAGTGTTGTTTATTAGTACTGAAAATGTTAACATATTGCTCTACAACCATGCGGAAGGAATTAATGAGCCGCTGTTGTCTTTTTTCATAAGCGCATCTAATTTGCTCATTCATCCACTTGTTCGTTTGTTCTACCCTTATTTAGCCAGGCAACAGGGGGAGTGCAGCCATTCCTGATAATCATGATTTGTTTTCCTTTTTTCAGCCATGCAATGATGGACCTACTGGTTGAACTTTGCCTTCAGAACCACCTGAATCCATCCCACCACGCTCTTGAAATTCGGTCTTCAGAAACCCAACAGCCTTTGAGTTTTAAGCCAAATACTTTGATTGGGACCCTGAATGTGCATACTGTGTTTCTGAAAGAAAAAGTTCCTGAAGAGAAGCTTAAGCCTGGTCCCCCCAAGGTGCCTGAGGTCAGTAGGTACCTACACGGAGATACCTGTGTCTGAATGCATGGCGGGTCCTGAGTAGGGTCTAGTGTGGCTCTTCTTTTCTAAGTACAATGCGGAGAGCTGTGGCTGAGGCTGCTGCTTTCCTGCGAGACAAAGCTAGGCACTAAACTGAGTTTTTTTTAGAAGACAAAATTTACAGAATTGAATTATGTTCATTGTTGTAACATTGCTCCTTTATATATTATAGAGGAGGAATTCATCTACAGTGGAGCTGGCCATTAGAGCTTTATTCAAAGAAGGACATGGTCTCTAATTCTCTACTAATGTGATAGCCACTGGCCACATGTAGCTTTTTTTTTTAATTTGGTATGTCTATTATAACTTAAATATCTAAAATATTCATGTATATTTTCTTTTTAATTGACACAGCATTTGAACACTAGAAATATGGCTGGTAAGATTGAGAAACTGAATTTCTAATTTAATTTTAATTAATTTAAATTTAAATTGCCACTAGCTAATGGCTTCCTGATTGGACAGTGTAGTTCTAGAATTCTTCCTGACTCAGGAAGCAGTTGGGATCTATAGAGGAATTAAATATTAAAAAGGGAAATTTTTTTTTATTTTGAAAAATTGATGTCAGAAATATTTATTCATTACATTTGGAGAATATCTCATATGCATGGCTGTATTCCAGGGTTTTGTTTATTAATTAAAATTAATTTTATTGTTGTCATTGTTGTTTTGAGACAGAATTTCGCTCTTGTTGCCCAGGCTGGAATGCAGTTGTGTGATCTCGGCTCACTGCAACCTCTGCCTCACAGGTTCAAGCGATTCTCCTGCCTCAGCCTCCTGAGTAGCTGGGATTGCAGGTGCCTGCCACCACGCCCAGCTAATTTTTGTATTTAGTAGAAACAGGGTTTCACCATCTTGGCCAGCCTGGTCTTGAACTCCTGACCTCAGGTGATCCACCTGCCTTAGCTTCCCAAAGTGCTGGGATTACAGGCGTGAGCCATGGTGCCTGGCCTTATTGTACTTTTAAATAAGGCTTTGATATTAATCTTTTATCTCAAACTAAAAGCAATGTTACTTTATTCTTTCAGGTTCTTGGCAGATCTTCTAAATTTTTCTGCTTTTATAAATGGTAACGCAGCCAAAAGTTCATCTCCTGTTAATTTCTAGGATTGATTGGTTAGTGCATTCTCATTGTTGCTCTAGAACCCTCTGACCAGAGATTTCCCCTTACTCCTCAAGTAAACAGTGTTTGAGGCAGAGCATCTCTAGACATTATGTGTCTTCCCTTGACTTCCTGCTTCTGAGGACAGGTGAGCCCAGGCGCATGAATGATTCCACTTGTTAGGGCGGGAGAGGACTGGTAAAGGAGCAGTAGGTTCCATCTTTTCTCCCAAAACGCATCATTTTCCCAGCCAGTGGACCCTGGTACTTATGCTGGAAGGGAGCGCGAGGCCTTCTTTTGCTGCTCTGTTGTTCAATCTACATTTACTGTGTCCAGCTCTGCAGTGTCTCAGCAGAATTAGAGTGACCAGTAAAAGTGGAAGAAAAGTGACTGGTTAGTAAAAGTGAAGGAAAATTGATTACCACTTTATTTGCAGACACTTAGAATTGGCATTAGTCAATTGAGTGCTTTTCTTCCTGATTATTATATGCCTGGTATTTTTTTAATCAAATATATTTCTAGCTTAAATATGTATGTGTAGTGTGTATACATAAATACATGTAAGTCTTTGTACACACTGTATATGTTTTATATATGTATATATAGTGCATAGAGTATATATATTTAGATAGATATACATCTGTATACATATACAAATATTCATATATTTATGTGGATATTTTGACTCCTTCAAACTTTAATGTCATTTTTGGAGGATTTTTCTTTAAATTATTCATACTACTTCCAAACTATTTCCTTTAGAAAATGCACATAAGTGCCCTGTGTTCACATCTGGCCAGAACCCTTGGAATACGTAAAGTATACATATTGGATTTTAAATGTAGAGTCCTCCCTGGTGTTCATTCCCCTGTGTTGTTAGCAGCTTGTTCACTAATAAGAGAGATTCTAAGACAAATTTATTATTTCAGACATTTGTTTTTCACTATTCATTGTGCCATTTTCCCCCATGACTCACTTAATTTGTGGAAGAAAGATGCAGGCTACATACAATCCTGCCACACCCAATTGTCAGGTTAACACAGAAGTTGAAGCCTTGTGGGAGGATGTCTTAACCAATTCTTTTTGCCCATGTGTTCTTCCAGAAATCTGTGCGTTTGGTTGTCAATTACCTGCGGACACAAAAAGCTCTTGTGCGTGTGAGCCCTGAGGTTCCTCTCCAGAATATTCTCCCAGTCATTTGTGCAAAGTGCGAGGTCAGCCCAGAGCACGTGGTTCTCCTCAGGGACAACATTGCCGGGGAGGAGCTGGAGCTGTCCAAGTCCCTGAACGAGCTCGGGATAAAGGAGCTCTACGCGTGGGACAACAGAAGAGGTGAGGCCCGCTGCGTCTTATACACCCGGCCGGTGATCACACAGATGCAAGGCATATACCCATCCCCCGTTGCTCTCCTCAGCACTCTCTGTAGTGCCGGGGAGAGATGGGTATGTGAAGTTCTAGGCAAGTCAGGTTTTGTCCAGACCAGTGTTGAAGTAGGCAAAAAAGAAATCTAGTATGTTCTCCTTCCTCTGGATTGAACTGTGCCTCCTTTCTCCCAGCCCTGAACATGTCCTTTGTTCTTTGTCTCCCTGCAAACTTCCATGATATAAGTAAAGAGGAAAAGGTGAGGTGAGATTAGACCTTATGCTCTGAAGTAACTACTCCAAACCATCTATAATACTTGTAAGGCCGGTTGCCTCGCCGGGGGCCAAATGGACACACCCATTCCTCTCCGTAGCTGAAAACTATGACATCATTCTGAGCGCATTACTCAGCATCTGGCCTCTCCATGTGGCCTCCCCACACCCATTTCCACATTCCAGTCTCAGTCCTGCACTCATCAGCAAACTAGGCACTCGGCCCCACCGAAATTTAAAAAAATCCCGCCACGACCTGCCCTATGACAGTTTGCCCCATACATCCTCAGCCAGCCCATTTACCAGCAGCCCCTCCTGGATGCCAATGGTGGCTCGCCTCGTCTGTGCCCAGTCCCTTCATAACCATTGAGACTACCTCCACTTTGTTTCCCCTGCAGCCAATCAACTACCTCCACTCCCTATACAACCCCACACCCTAGGAAGAGAAATGCAACTTCTCTGGCCCCTTTCCCGGACCGTAGAACCTCGCCCGGGAGCTGAATAAATTGGCTTTTACTTTTTTACTCTGATTTCCGTTTCCTCATTTAACTTGGCAATAAACCTTACAGTATTTTCTTGCAAGTTGGTGGCTCACACTTGTCCAAGGCAGGAGGATGGCTTGAGCCCAGGAGTTCAAAACCAGCCTGGAGAAAATAGACCCCATGTCTACAGAAATTTAAAAATGATCCAGACGTGGTGGTATATGCCCATTCCTATAGTCCCATCTACTTGAGAGGCCGAGGCTGGAGGATCGCTTGAGCCCAGCAGGTTGAAGCTGCACTGGGCTAGGGTCACACCGTTACACTTAGCCTCGGCAACAGAGTGAGACCCTGTCTCTTCAAAAAAACAAATTATCTTGATTTTCTTTTTCTTTTTCAGTTGCCATTAGCTGCTATTACCAGGTTTCAAACATCGCTTATCTCTAAAACCAATGGGCACTCAGCTGTTCTCTAAAACTGAACAATGACTGGTGTGAGATCCTTAAGACAACTTTAGGGCCACCTTAGGCCTCCTCACTGTCTTGCCAATGTCATCTTGCTCAGCATGTGAATGTGGCTCCTAGTATGAGGCCACAGTTAGAGCCACTGGCGAGAGTGGCAGCCCAGAGGCCTTGCTGGTGCAGAGACTGAGATGTGTAAGCAAATGTTTCCGGTTGATATAGAAGGCTAACTGCATATTTTAGCTACTGTCAGACCAAAGGAAATGTTACATTCCTTGGCCTTAGAATGATCAAAATGGACTTTGTAAAACTTTCCCTTCTAATGAGCGTAATTTGGTATCTGTTCTCTGTTTCTTTATTCCACAAATATTGGATAGGTTGAGTTTTAAAAATATATACATATTCAAGTTTTTTCTGTTTTTCTATGGCTTTTTTTTTCTAATTTTTTCCAACAAAAATGTATTTTTTCTTTTTTGGGATGGAGTTTCATACTTGTAGCCCAGGCTGGAGTGCAGTGGCATAGTCTTGGCTCATTGCAACCTCCACCTCCTGGGTTCAAGCAATTCTCCTTCCTCAGACTTCTGAGTAACTGAGATTACAGGTATCTGCCACCATGCCTGGCTAATGTTTGTATTTTTAGTAGAGACGGGGTTTCACCACATTGGCCAGGCTGGTCTCCAACTCCTGACCTCAGGTGATCTGCTCACCTCAGCCTCCCAAAGTGCTGGGATTACAGGTGTGAGCCACTGCACTCAGCCATATTTTTTCTTGATACCATATTATTGTGAAATCCATGGTCATAGGTGGAATCTCTGTCCAGCCTGTCTCCTCCCCACCAAGTCAGCCCTCCCCAGCAAGTCAGCCCTTGTCTTCCTGCATAGCTGGCACCTAGATCTGATTTGATATTCAAGAGAGGGTTTTGGCTCAATTGTGTATAAGATACAGGGACTATTTATTCCTTCAAAAAAAGTACTCTGACATTTGAGAATAATGCATCTTGTGTTTTATCCAGTGTCTTTTTAAAACACAGACAGAAATACTCTCAGCATCCCTGCACAGGCCTGGTGGCACTGGGTATATCAGCCCTATTTAAATTTGGTTTACATGACTCTTTGGAAGCAGCTTCCATTTGGTAAGATAAAAAGAAAAATAAAAGGAAAACAGCTCCATATTCAGGTATCTGAAACACGAAAGCTTACAGAAACAAGTGTTTCTGTTACGTGCCACCACTTGGATGTATCTTGAAAGGTAGATGTTGAACCTGTACCTGAGAGAAGTCATATAAAACCTGCCTGTCTGTGAAGGAGAGGACCCAGGCAAGCCTATGGTCATCGGGACTGCAGGAGCTGAAGCGTTCATGTGGTCAGGAACCAAAGCATCTCTTCTGATCCACACACAGGCCAGAGCAGAACATGCTGGTGCCGTCAGCTTGGCCATTCAGATTTTGAAACACTTCTGCCCTTGGTGGGAACTAGCTGCTCCCAAACCCTCAAGTTCCCCTCTCTACTGCCTTGGACATTTTGGCCCTCCCCACCCCACTTCCAACACGCCATGAGCCTCCCCACCATGGAGGTCCTGCTCCAGCCCCGGGGCCAGCACCCCTTTCACCTGACATGCCTATGCCATGCCAGCTGTGACATTTGATTACCATCCCTGCCAAGTGCCTGCCTCCTGCTCACTGTCAGTTATCTGAGATGAAAAGACACTTGTCCAGAGGCCATCCCCAAGGCTCTCTTTCTCCCCTGCAGCTGTCCTGGGCAGGCCTGCTGAGTGCTGCTGGAGGAGCCCTTGCTTTCACTCCTCTTGGTTTGCACTTGAAAGGGAAAGGCATCCACTCCTGAGCCCTACCACTGCTGGAGAACAGAAGTGCAGCTGGCAGGAGGCGAGGCATTGCTAGGCAGAGGCCCACCCTCCCCTGGCATGTTGATGAAGCCAAGGTCTCTGCTGCCACCTGCGTCCACAGTGGCACTTAGCAGGCTGTGCAGCTGTGGCTCCGAGAGGGCCAGCCCAGAGAGGCAAGCTGGCCTGGCAGGAGGCCTTCTCAGTGCTGCAGCAGGACTGTCCTCCTCTGAGGCTTGTGAGGGCCAAGGCCTGGATTAGGGGCTCCCACACATCTTGAAGCCTGACCTCACTTTCTCATTGCCTGCCTTTTCCAGCTCTTCTGACCAAAACTCAGTCCGAGCCTTCCCTGAGCTGTCAAGGTATAGTAAACCCAGGGTTTCCTGCTTCTCCTTTGACCCTGCACTTGGCATGGCTCTAGGGTCAGAGCTGCACGGAGGTGACGTTTTTGTGCCAGAGTCCAAGGAATGGAAGTTTAACTTGGGGCCCTTCTGAGGGTGCATGCCAGGCTGACATGAAGTTTTGGTTTGGTTTCTTGATTTTCTGGTTGGTTCAGAGAAGAATGCTTCTTGTGTGAGAATTTGCTGTGTGGCTCTAATTGATGAGGAATGAGGGAGGCTGTTATAGAAAACAGATTCTGTTGCCCAGAATTTCACGGCGGAGCAGAAGTGGTGCATACAGGAGAGGCGCCCTTTCCTTTCCACCTCCACCTGCCTGTGCTTACCTGCCCCTGAAGGCCATCCTGCATGCTACAGAATTTGGAACAGTGTGGATTTTGTAGTTTAACCTTTTCTATTATAGACAAACATGGAAAGGATTCATCCACATTTTGCATTTATTCTGACATCTATTTAAAAGTTTCTCATAGAGAGATTTCTGTACAGAAAGAGGTATACAGAAACAGATGTTTATATGTATACATAGACAGATATACAGATACATATGTGTGTGTACTTATTCACATACACACGTGCATATACGTAGGTAGAATGCCCACTGGACGTTTGCAGATGTGGACCTGGTCCCCGCCCCCACTTCCATTTATGTGCTCGATGGCCATGTTCTGGCCACTGAGTCTCCTCCTCTGGACAAGTGAGTGGTTTGGACTCGTTGGTCTTTAGGGGTCCTTCATCCTTCTCTGCCCCTCTGCAGTTCGTCTTTATTTTCCAGATCATTGTCACGCTGCAGGACAGTAAAACTTTCAGATTAAGTGTGCTGCTGTCAGCTTGGCCATTCAGATTTTGAAACACTTCTGCCCTAGGTGGGAACTAGCTGCTCCCAAACCCCCAAGTTCCCCTCTTTACTGCCTTGAACATTTGCCCTTGGACAAATATGCAAATGATTAGTCCACATTTTTTGTTTGTGTTGATGGTCTGATGCAGAATTTGTATTGTAAAATCCCAGTCCGTGATTCTGCCACCAATGGCCTAGAGCTCTTACTATCTATCAGTTGGCAGTGATATGGGAGCAATCATTTTTCTGCCCTCCAGGAACACCTACACGTTCTCTCCTCTTGTGATGTCTGTATGCCCTGACTTTTATCAATAAAAATTTAATTACTTTTAACTTAGAGTAAATTCAATCAAAATGAAAGCCACACTCAGCTTATACTTATTGGAACCGTGGGTTCCAGAGCTCACTTGACCATGTTCCCAAGGGCTGGCCATGCATCAGTTGTTCATTGCTGCTCTGCTATAGAGCCGGGCAGCCTCTGGACATTTCGGCTGATGGGAACAGTGAATTCTCTTACTTTGCTCCCAAACCAGTTCTTTTTCAGTGTCTCCCGAGGCTCAGAGGCCTCATAGGAGGCCCCATCAGTCAGTGACTGAGACCAAAGCCTCACCTCTAAAAATAGACCATCGGTGTTAGGCCCAGCTCAGCACTGTGAGTCTCAGGCTCCTGGTGCTTCCACACAACTGCAGGTGTAGCTACATGAGAAAGTATCTCTCCCACTGTTTAGTGGCAGTTCTGGTGCCGGGACTGTCCTGGACCCTTCATCAGGGAGCTGACCTCAGTCCTTAGGGGTGGTGATCAGCCACTGTCCTCATTCAAGGAGAGAAATCTGATGCAGTCTGTCCTTTCTCTGGTCAGTGTAATATAGCTTGTGTCCCAGGAACATGCTCTACTTCTTGTGTATCAGTAGGACACTATGATGCCATCTGTTTTAATAGCCAATTTCTCAACTTACGATTTTCAACTTTACTATGGTGTGAAAGTGGTGTGTATTCAGCATGCTCCTGGACTTAATGGTGGGGTCACGTCTGGATAAAGCCATCATGAACTGAAAACGTAACCCCGTCGTCAGTTCACGAGCATCCGTTGGTCTATGCCACATATCACTCAATTCTGAAAACATCCTCAGTTATAAACAAACATATTAAGGCATACAATAGTTTAGATGCCGTCTTAACCATGTGCTCTATTTTCCTCTTTATAGCTCTGTACCTAATAGAGGGTTTGCTGTGACTAACTTTGCAGTGTGCATCAGTGCCTCTACATCGTGTTGCAGCGGGCCCTCTGGTACTGTGCGATGTGGAGTACTGTGGGTACTGTGTATTTGGGTACTATGCGATGTGGAGCCTGCTTGGGGCCTCAGCTGGAGCCTCCTGCATGTAACCGAGTCCTGGCCCTGCCCTAACGGCTAGGACATGCACCTTTGCTCCTACGGAGTGATTTCAGGAGTGTGTGTGCTGGGTTTTCGCTCTGCTGTGCGGACATCATTGGTGTTCACGCCTGTGTTATTAATGCACTGACTGCTGTGTGTGTTCTCTAACTCAAATGTGAAATCATATAGTAGCAGATCGAGAACTTGTTTGCATTGATGGTCTCATGGCAGAATTTGTAAAATCCCAGCCCGTGATTCTGCCACTAATGGACTAGAGTTCTTGCTGTCAATCAGTTGGCAGTGATTGGGGAAAAATCATTTTTCTGTCATCCAGGAACACCTACACTTTCTCTCCTCTTGTCATATCCATATGCCCTGACAGAGAAGAATGGAATGAAGTAATGACAGAGGCCTTTCCTGAGCAAATAAATGCATGACACTAGTGAGCAGTGTGCTGAGCTGTGTGAGCGCTGTCCTGTGCAGTTAGCGCACTCACCCCCAACCTGCAGATGAAGCTGCTGAGGCTTGGAGAAGCTAAGTGGTTTCCCCAAGTGTGCCGCATACATGGGCACTCTTAACCTGTCAGCACCACTCCCTGAGTGATATTCTCCAGACCCTCAGCTTAAGCCTCCTTAGGGGCTAGTTTGACTGTGTAGCACTGGGCCCTGCACCCAGGATTTCTTATTCTGGGGTTCTGGAGTGGGCCCAGGGATTGGAATCTCTCGCAAGTTCCCAGCAATGCTGATGCTACAGCTTCCACTTTGCTTTGGGAACCATGGCCCATGGCTGCCTTGTCAGCTGGAAGGCAGTGTGCTTGTCTGGAATTTGGAAGGGTCCAACCTGGCTCTAGAATCCTAATGAAGAAAAATTCATTAAGAAAAAAGAAAGAAGAAAATAATTGCCCCCTAGAGAATGTAACTTGAAAGGAAACATTCTGGATGCCGTAGAGGAAGGAAAATCTGGAAATGTGGCTCCTGGGAGATCTGATGCAGTTGTGTCAAGTACCACCTGGGGAGCTCCTCGCTGTTCCTCCATTTTCTGGAAATGAGCAGGAAGGCTGCTGATATGTTTGATTTAGTTAAAGTGTGTACCTCACGCATGATTCTTAAAGCAGGTGTATTGCACTGAGGTCACAGTCCTAGAGCTGTGCTGATTTGGCAGCCACAGGCCTCGTGTGGCTCTAGCAGGTGCCCAGTCCACACTGAGATGTGCCGTAAGCCTAAAGGCATGCTGGATTGTGAAGAGTCAGCACCAAAACCAATGTAAAATGTCTCATCAATACTTTTTATATTGACTGCTTTATAATATAAAATACTTTATATTATTATGGAATGATAATATTTTAGATATGTTGGATTAAGTGAAATTATTACAATTTATTTTACTTGGTTCTTTTTATGTAGCTACTAGAGAACATAAAATTACATATGTGGTCTGGTTTAGCTTTCTATTGGACAGCTCTGCCCTAGGACTTTATTTTGTCATTCTCCAAAAAGGGGACAACCACACCCAGAGAAAATGCCTCCATCATCCCTAAGACTGTGTAAGAACCTGTAGTGATTTCCCAAATGGGCTTGGGGCCTTGAGGTGGCTCAGACAGCTTGGAAAGAAATAGATGCTTTTCCCTCTCTTAAAAGAACAAAAGTTTTAGAGTAAAGGATTCATTTAGTAAGATTTTTAAAGTGAAGTATTTAATCTCTTGTTTCAAATGCTGAAAAATAACTTAGTGCTTTTTTTTTTTCCAGAAACCTTTAGAAAATCATCACTTGGCAATGATGAGACAGATAAAGAGAAGAAAAAATTTCTGGGATTTTTCAAAGTTAATAAAAGAAGCAATAGTAAGGTAATGGATTAAATACACCTATGATTTTGTATCATGTAAAAGAAATAGTGTCTTAAGATATATGCATCAACTTGTCCTGGAACTTTTCTGAATAATTCTATTTAGGAATACTAATTCCTTCAGGTTAAAGGGAGCTTATGAGTATGCACTGGAATGACAGCTGTACTTCCATGCTTGATCCTGAAAGGAGTTATCTTGCGTGATGGTGTTTTATTCACTAGGGGCGCAGGAAGCTTGTGGGTTCCTGATGACCATGGCCATAGGCCCTTCTGCCTGTGGGTGTTCTGGTACATCTGCAGAACTCTGCCTGTGGCTGAAACTCAGTAAACCTTGTTTAGATTAGTGAATGAGTGAATGCATGTTCTAGTTAAATGTGAATAGTCAATATTGCTGTCAGTGAACTGTGGCTTATGCCTCGTGGCAGAGAAGAGCATCTGTGGTTGAACTGGTCTGCTCGCTAGTAATTTTTAGATATTCTTTGGTCCTCCTGATACGATCTGGGAATATACTACGTAGTGAGTTAATATTATTGCTCTTGTTGGTGTTTATTATATATATCTCAAAGTCGTATTTTGGATACAATAGTATAGAGTCATTAAGTCACAGTACCCAAAATAAAAATGAAGATTTTTATAATTAATTATAATCTTGGTATTGCCTTCTGACTACCGAGAGAAGAAAATGTTCATTATCCCTATTTATATTTAACAAGCATGTTTTACTAATATCTGGTATTTTATCCTTACTAATACATAAGACTGAAAAAGACAAAACTGTTCAAATGAATGTTAGGCTTTAGTTCCACCAGCTCGGTTGCTCCATCTGTGTATTTCTAGAAGAGACGTGAGGACTGGGGACTCATTTGTGTGTATACCTTCCCAGTGCCATGGTATAGATGAGTGCATCTAAGACTCACATTTGTGTGCAGACCTTCTCAGCGCCATGATGCAGATTCCTGCATCTATTATTCACGTTCGTGTGTAGACTTTCTCAGTGCTATGGTGCAGATAGGTGCATCTAGCCCAAGGCTGGACATCTGATTTCCTGCCCTTCAGTGACGTGTGGTGCAGCCTCTGCTGTTAGAATTGTGGTTCACCCAGGTTTGCTAATGCGGATATCAGAGCTCAGAGAAATAAAGTAAATTTCTTAGCGTTCCAGGCTTAGACACAGACGTGTCTGCGTGCAGACCCAGCACGTCCCTCTCGCTCTGTGGTGGTTGGGAAGGGGAGAGGAGGGTGAGAACCACATGAGAACAGAAGGTCCAGTGGAGCTCAGCTGAACTGGTGGAGACTTCTGTCCTTAAGAGTAAGAGTTTTTCACAAACCTCAGATTATTTTTTCTTCTCATCTGCTGAAGCTTCAGTAATGGTTTTGTGATTCTCTTACACATGACTGATTGTATGTGCTTTCCCATGTTTCTGCATGTCCTTCGAAAATCTGTACCCCATACATGTCTAGGTAGGACCTTTTCAGCCCTGACATTTTCTATCCCCCCTGTCTCCCCAACTGTCTCTTCCTCTCCCCATCTTTTCCCTGCTCCTCTCCCTCCTCCTCTCCTGACTTCCTCTCGTTTCCTGTCAGAATTACTTGAAGTTACAGAATTAAAATTTTGTGGCCTGGCATGGTGGCTCACTCCTATAATCCCGGCACTTTGGGAGGCTGAGGTGGGCAGATCACCTGAGGTCAGGAATTTGAGACCAGCCTGGCCAATGCAGTGAAACCTGCCTCTACTAAAAATACAAAACTTAGCTGGCTTGGTGGCGGGTGCCTGTAATCCCAACTGCTCAGGAGGCTGAGACAGGAGAATCGCTTGAACCTAGGAGGCAGAGGTTGCAGTGAGCTGAGATCACGCCACTGTACTCCAGCCTGGGCAGCAGAGCAAGACTTCATCTAAAAAAAAAAAAAAAAAAAAAAAAAACAGAATCAGAATTTTGCATTTGAATTTCGCTCGCTCTATGAATGTTGTTTTGTTGTTGGTCCTGACATTTTTGAGATAAATTGGCTGAGACCGTGTTCACCCTTGTCCTCTTTGATCCCCACAACACCAATTCACAGTAAAATCCACCATTCCTCATTCCTCACCTTAGACCTCAATTAGTTGTTCTCTTTGTGTCTTCTTCCTTGTAAAAGATGGAATGGGCAGAAAAACCAAGTTAAAGATCTAGAAAGACTTGCTTTTACCAAAATAAGATCACCTGAAGAGCTGGAGACGTGGGGACCATGACTCGGCTTCTGATAGTTCAGGGGGTGGGGAGACACCACACGTGGCAACACAACAGTGAAGGCGCAGACAGCGATCCAGTCCTGTCGCCGGATTCTGTTTTTCACCATTGTCAACCTAAAGAAAGAAACAGACTCAAAATTAATATAGAGAGTTTATCTGGGCCAAGGTTGAGAACTATAGCTTGGGACCCACTTTGTTTGCCTTGGGAAGTGCTCCATTCATTCAGTCTTAGTTACAAGGTTTTCTACAGCAAAAAGCAAGAAGGTGTGGCTGACACAAAGTTCTTTGATGAGGATTGTCACTAGTTTACAGAAAGAATGCTGATTACTGATTGACTATACACCCCTGAACTATGGCAGATGAGTTCTGGTGTCCAGTATATTCCATTTTGTAGTCGCTTGGCATAAAAGTCAGTCAGCATTGGAGCTCAAGTAGCAGTTGGCTTTATGGAGTAATTATTTAGCTCAAGCGGGGTGTGGGTCATGACCACGCTGCATTGCAGCACCTCCCTGGGCCTGGCAATTAAAAGGGGCTCACATTCTGTAGATGAAACGTTTATTTATTTTTCATTTCCCCTTTCAATAAAAAATATTTCTTCTTGAGAGCATTGACGATTAGAGGCTGAGTGTCAAGGTTTCCCTTGTCACTGGGAAGGGTCATTCTCAGGTAGCTCTGTCCCATGTTAGGGAGGAAAGGAAAGAGGTTTTAGTGTGGAATTTTAAGAGAACCCAAAGCCAAATTAGGGTGGCATTACAGAGTGGCGAGAATGAAACCTCAGTCACGTCAGTAATTTATTAGCTGCTGTTGCTTGTTGAATTATCTCTAGTCTTTGGAATACTGTTTTCGTTTTCTCAGAAGAAATAAAACCACGAGAGCTATATAGCATCAATAATCTGAATAGTAGAAGCATAACACACACAGGGTTGGATTAGAGTCAGAAAGATAATTTACATGCCAGATCAAACAAACCTGCATCCCATTAGGGAACAACTGAAAACATCAGGCAGAACGTGACATCCTGCTGCTTCTTTAGAGAATTGGTGTAGCCAGGAAATAATTCAGGTTTCAGTCCAAATTGTAGGCAAATAGTATCACAAAAGCAATAGTCAGTGCTGGAACTGATAGGTGGCCCCTTGAAACATGGTTTTCTCTCTCCAGTTCCTCCAGTTTTACCAAAGATAAATCGTAGAAAAACCAGTTTATTTGTAAAATAAGTTTTACACTTACTATACTTGTCATGTTTATTTGCATAAAAAGCAGCAAGAAGAGTGGCCTTCCTGGCTCATTGTAGTTGGCTTTGCTGGAACTTTTTCATAAGGAATCTCAGATTAGACTTTTAAAAGGCTCCTGTGGCTAGGAAGCCAAGTTAAGGATTTACCATCTAACTGTGCCAGTAATACCTGTATGAATTGGGTGAATTTCTTTCTTCTCGAGATCTTAAAATATCTTGAGATTATTGGGCCTGTCAGAAAGTGACATGCTTTTACTTACCACAAGGTCAGCAACCTTGTAAGGAAACCATGTGGACAAGGAACCAGGCCAGTCATTTTCCAAGTCCATTGGCTATAAAGTCAACTTCAGTCCCTCAAAGCCATCCGGTCATGTCTGAAAACCTGTCATTCCGGTCAAAGGTTTGGTAAAATAACTAGTGGTTTCAGCACCCTCTGTTACGAAAGAACACAGACCTGTATTGACCTTATGCAAGTAACTATATTGCCACACAATGAAAATAGTTTCTAAATTTTGGAAAAATCAAGTAGAATGAAAGATAAATGCCTCCCTTTGCCCACAATAGTATACTTTACCCAATTGCTATAAGCTATAAATAGCTCAAAAGAAAAAGTTTTCTTGATGCTAGAAAATAAAACATGAAAAGAATCTACTGTGTTTCAAACAAAAACAAGTCACAAGAATTATTTCAGTGCTCTGTCACTTCAGTGTCATGTACTTAACTTTTATTCTGCTCGAGGTTGCGTTAGCAATCTTTATGAACTCATCAGATTTCTGGATTTTTTTTTTTGCCTTGTTCAATGATATGATCTCCAAATTATCAGAAACTTGTATTCAGAGTGCTTTCATTATCTTCTCCATAAGGTTCCTTGAAGACACAATGCTTTAGCTTTACAAAGAACTTTTAAGAAAAGAGAGCATCAGAATAAAGCAATTCACTGTTTATGTCAAGACACATCAAATTTTTAAGTATCTTATACAACTATAGAATGCATATTAATAGCATATTTATACAAAAATAGCTTGAAGAGAGTTAAACACCATATCTTAGCAGGGCACGGTGGCTCACGCCTGTAATCCCAGCACTTTGGGAGGCTGAGGAAGGCGGATCACCTGAGGTCAGGAGTTTGAGACCAGTCTGGCCAACATGGTGAAACTCCTTCTCTACTAAAATACAAAAATTGCTTGAACCTGGAAAGTGAAGGTTGCAGTGAACCAAGATTGTGCCACTGCACTCTAGCCTGGGTGAAAGAGCAAGACTCTGTCCCCTCAAAGAAAAAAAAAAGTTAAACATCTTCCACTATCATTTTCACATACCAAATATGCCTAATACGCCTCTCTTGGACTTCGAGGGTCCCTATTTGTGTTTCCAGAAGGCCTAATCTCCAGAAGTTAGTTCAGTGTGAAAAAAGACTCAATTAGAATTTGAAATTCCATTTCAAGAAGTTTGTCAGATGTCGAAGGCTTGAAACACTTGATTTCAAAATGGGATCACAGTAAAATAATATTCATTTAGTCAAAGTCGTTTTTCAAAGATTTCAAAAAGCAAAAACATTTGCTCTTTGATTAAGAGGAGACTTGGCCAGGCATGGTGGCTCACACCTATAATCCCAGCACTTTGGAAGGCCGAGGTGGGCCGAGGAAGGCCTGAGGTGGTGAGTTCGAGACCAGCCTGGCCAGTATGGTGAAATGCCTTCTCTACTAAAACTACAAAAATTAGCCAGGGTGGTAGCAGGTGCCTGTAATCCCACTACTCGGGAAACTGAGGCAGTAGAATTGCTTGAACTCGGGAGGTGGAGGTTGCAATAAGCCAAGATGGTGCCATTGCACTCCAGCCTGGGAAACGGAGCAAGACTCCATCTCAAAAATAAATAAATAAATAAGAAAGAAAGAAGGAAAGAAAAGAGGAGACCCAGTTTTCCAAATCAAGAAAAGATCTAATAATGACACCGTATGTCTTCCTCTCTCTCCTTTTTGTATTGCAGCTTACTCAAAAGGTAAATAAAAACCTTTTATTATCCATTATCAATACAATATGAAAACCTTGTTCAAAAGAGAGAACCAAATTTTACCACTGTATTTATATGTTATTAATATTGTGTCCTTTATTAATTTTAATAAAACCTTATAAACAGATCCATCCAACTCATTCAGCTTTGCACAGATAAGTTTCTATAAACCTTTTATAATGTTTTATAATTTTAAAATTTTTTTAACCTATGCCCATTAAGTTTTATCTATCATTTTTGTATTCCATTAATTTAAAACAACCTTTAAATTGCAAAATTGTTGTTCCTTTAACAAAAGCCGTGTTTTTTCTCTTTTTTTCTTTTTTCTTTCTTTTTTTTTTTCTTTTTTTTTTTTTTTGAGATGGAGTTTTGCTGTCGTTGCCCAGGCTGGATACAATGGTGCAATCTTGGCTCACTGCAGCCTCCACCTCCTGGTTCAAGTGATTCTCCTGTCTCAGCCTCCTGAGTAGCTGAGATTACAGGTGCAAGCCACCATGCCTGGCTAATTTTTGTATTTTTGGTAGAGATGGGCTTTCACCATGTTGGTCAGGGTAGTCTCAAACTCCTGATCCTTATGTGCTCCACCCACCTTGACCTCTCAAAATGCTGGGATTACAGGTATGAGCCACTGTGCCCAGCCAAGAAAAACACATATTTTTATGTCTTTTTTATAACCTTTTTAAATTTTTATTTTTATTATTTTATTTTGAGACAGAGTCCTGCTCAGTAACTCAGGCAGGAGTGCAGTGGCACAGTGTTGGCTCACTGCAACCTCTGCCTCCTGGGTTCAAGTGATTCTCCTGCCTCAGCCTTCCAAATAGCTGAGATCACAGGTGCCTACCTCCATGCCTGGCTAATTTTTCTATTTTTAGTAGAGATGAGGTTTTACTATGTTGGCCAGGCTGGTCTCAAACTCCTGACCTCAAGTGATCCGCCCACCTCTGCCTGCCAAAGTGTTGGGATTATAGGCATGAGCCAACACACCTGGCCCATAACCTTTTTAAAAAGCAAAAATGCATCTTACTTTTCTTGTGCTCTTTGCACACAGAATTGTTTCTCTTTTATCTAGCAGATTTAATTACATATATTAATTTGTGTTAACTCTTAGTATCCCAAATATTTGTGAAAAGTCTTAGGAAGTAAGCAATTTTAATTATGTACCCTGATACAGAACCCAGAAAAAAGGACAGTTATGAAGGCAATGCCTGGAGAACCGACCTCTCCCAGCATTTTCAGGGGGCACAAGTGAGCCAGGGAAGGCATGTGGTGTAGCTCCTCCCCGCAGCTGTTGGCCAGGGTCCTTCAGGCATCGCATGTCCCCAGGCCTTCCTGTGTCCACTTGTCTATACCCCAGAATCATGCAAGTATCAACAGTATCACAGAAGCAACAATCTGATGACCTTAAACACCTAGCAGAAATAGCCTAAACCTATTTCACTAGTACACCCAGGCAAAAATGTCTAAATTCTGAAAATATTTCTATTTTATTTTACCAGCAATCTTAGAACTAGCCTTATTAATCAAAGATTACTTAAGTCACATGAACTTGAAAAGCATTTGGGCTTATTTACTTAATTTATGAGAACTGATTTACTATCAGTCACTTGGTACCATGTAGACAATATACAAACACAGCCATGTACATAAAAACATAGACAAAAATAAAGATTTCATAGCTTTGATTTTAAGATTTTAGCCATGAGTCGGACAGAATTCACTAATCAAAAGGACAGTTGGATTCAAACTGTGCCTTCATAAATGGAAAAAGTTAAAGTTTATCTGTTTCATGTGTCTAAAGCCCTCACAAAATTTTAGAGAACAAGGTAACAAATTTACATTTCAAAGCAGAGAGAGAATTTAAGCTCTTGTAAAGATCGATGAATTTTGCATTATCTTTGGCAAAAATCACATCCTCGAAGAGAAGCAGACCTAGGGAGTATATGTGGCTAGCAGGGCTTTAAGAAAAGAAATTCAGTCACCTGAGAAACTTATGGAGAGAACAGAGGACTCAAAAATAGTGTATATGTATATGTGTGTGTGTATACTATATATATTCCAAATATCAGTTACTAAGTTACCTTTTGACTATAGAGCTCTTAAATCTTTTCAATCTCTTATGAGATTTCAGCCAGGACAAATCAGCCAATATCCCTGCTTTTGTACTTTTTTATTTTTATTTTTCTCTTAAACCACAGGTGCCTTTCCAAGTGACTGACCAAAACCAACAGGCATTAATGAAGGTTATGATTTAACCAGAGACTTGTCAAGTATCTCCAAAGAGGTACAACACAGAGCCACCAGAAAGACAGCTCTAAAGAAGGAAGGTTTTGCTAGCTACAAATGGGCTAAAGCCTCAATCTGCCCTGGCCAGCCATATTCCCTAGGGTCTCAGTTTCTCAGCTGACCGTCTAGATACAATGTCCAGACTGAGGCTTTAAAGAGACAGTGAAAATGACAGGAAAACAAAAGCTGCCTGTGGGGGTGGTGCCAAAAGGCAGGAAAAGGTGGGAAGGTAAACTTACGGCATAAATGAAGACTGCACCTAGATTCCCTGGCACTGCTGTCTCTGCGCCCATAAGCAAGTCTTATAAAGGAGCCTATCTTTAGGTGGGAATGGCAGGCAGAAAAACCTTTGTCTTTCTCAGTTGCCATTCTGCCATCAGGCAAGCAGGGGAAGGGGCAGCGTCTCCCTGGATGTTCCCCTTCTTCAGCTCCCAATCCCTAGTACTTAGAGAGGAATATTTTGATTTCTTTTAGTAGATAGCATTATTGAGTATCCGAGACAAGTAATTCAAATTAATTTCTTATAAATGTTTCTTTCCTGAGCAAAAGGTATCCACCGAGGAAATAAATGTTGTAGTATGTCCAACAAACATGAACTGTGTATCAAGCCTGCTCTCAGCTGGAATGCTGCCTTGCTAATACCATGCATGTTAACATTTCTAAGACCTGGAGAGATTTACATTTCCAAGGGACTGAGAAAGGTCTGCAGACAGTTTAGATGTTTAAAGAGTTTTTCTGGGGGCGTTAAAGGACAGCTCTAAAAAAAATTCTCAAATCTAATTTGGGGCGAGAGAACTCACCTTCATATACCTTTTGGTATAAAACTAATAGGAATTGGTCACAATTTTTTTCAAGTTCAAATTACAAATAGTAGAAAGCAGCTGCAGTTTTAAAAGCATGCCATGTAAAGTGAAATCACCAGTGCTAAACTGCCAGTACCTTGACGTACCTGCCCCAAGGTGGAAAAGGTAGTTTTCCTTTTTAATCACTGAGACCTGAATCACTTGCCTGCAAGGCAAAGATAGAGCCTCCATTCCAGAAAGGGAGCATTGGAAAGAGCAGCCCACGCAAAGCTTAGGCCTCACCTCAAAATCTTAGGCAGTCCAGATTGAGAAGGTCTCGCCCTTTGCACCCTGGGGTCTGCTGGAGCTGAGGACCCATTCTGTTGCTGGTATGAAGAGCTGAGTCTGAGAGAAAACTCTGGGTGCTAGTGTGAGGATCACTCTGAATCCTGCCGACTTATACCAGATATGTCAGCCTAAAAAAAGAAACTGAGGCAAGATTAATATGGAGAGTTTATTGAGCAAAAGTTGAGCCTGACTGCCTAGGACACACTTCCAGGTTGCCTTGGAGAGGGCTCCATTCAGCTTTGGTTCTAAGAAGGTTTTTAAAGGCAAAGGGGGACAAGGAGTGGGCTGATACAAAGTTGTTCCACTGTCACTGGTTTACAGAGATGACATTAGTTAGTGATTGGCTCTTATTGAGCTATAGGGTGAGAGTTACGGTGTTCAGCATGTGGCATTTTATGGCTCCGTGGTGTCAGACTGAAGCCCACGTAGCAGGTGGCCTGAAGAGGTCGCCATTTGGGTCAAGGGCGGAGTTAGATGTGACTGCTGTGCATTTCACTGCCTCTCTGGTTCTGATCATTCAAGGGGCTTGTATTCTCAGATACAAAGTCTGTTTTCTTTCTCGCTGTCCTGAACTTGCTAGAAGTATTTTTCATTTCTCTGTACGTTATCTTTCATTTATAACTTTCTTTCCCATTTATTTTACTGTATTTTGCTCTAGACATCCCTTCTAAAGTCTTATCTTTATTAGATAATTTGTTATTGTTGTTTTGAGTTAACTTTTTAGCTTCTCGTTTCTCTTGATTTTTATTGTTTGAGATACTGTGCTAAATGCAGCCTCATTCAGTTTATCTAGAAACCTAGTGAGAGAGGCATTATCATCTCCATTTTCCCGGGAAAAGGCTGAGCAACTGCAAGCTGAGCATAGTGCAGTAAGTGCAAGAATTCATAAACACCAGAATTCAAACCCAAGCCTGTCTTTCCAAAGTCCTTGCTGTTAATCACTGGTTTACATTGTATAGTGTGGTATCAATTTCTTTATCAAGAAAAAGGATTTGAAACAAATACTTTTAAAAAATGATTCATAAAATCCTGTGATGTCAGTCAGTCTGCAGAGGTCTCAGTGAACAGATGCTAAGAACGGAGAATGATAGAGGCATTTAAAACCTAAGCTGACTCTTTCCTATATCACCTTAAAGGAAAAAAATGGTAGATATATGTGTATATGTGTTTGTGTGTGAATGTGTGTATAAAATGTCAATCGGAAATATACTTAAAGGGAAATGTTATCGGCTAAGATGATAGCAAATATCTTTGTTGTTTTAAAGCTTTTGTGTTTTCAAGTTTTTAAAGTGTTATAGTTTTGTATCATCTCGACATTATTTATTCTCCTAACACAACAGTTCTCAAAAATACCTAAGCATCACCTTGAGACCTAGTTTAAACATTGGATTCTTGGGTCATATCCCTGAAGATTCTCATTTGGGAGGCCAGGTTGGGGTACGGGAATTGAATTTTCCAGTTATATCAGATGATTTTGGTGCAATGGAGAGAAACATTACCATGTTTCTTTTCTGAAAAATAGGAAGTGAGGTATTTGGTGAAATTTTTCTGTATATACCCAATTAATTAGCTGGGCAGTGATTAAAACTTTGAAGTCCTCAAAACCTAATTAATTTGCTTGCTGACCTAACTCTATCACTTCAGGCCCACTACTGTTTTAAAATTACATATTTTCACCAGGCGAGGTGGCTCATGCCTATAATCTTAGCATTTTGGGAGGATGAGGTGGGCAGATCACCCGAGGTCAGGAGTTTGAGACCAGCCTGGCCAACATGGTGAAACCCTGTCTCTACTAAAAATATAAAAATTAGCTCGATGTGGTGATGCACACTTGTGTTCCCAGCTACTTGGGAGGCTGAGGCAGGAGAATTGCTCAAACCTGGGAGGCAGAGTTTGCAGTGAGCTGAGATCATGCCACTACACTTCAGCCTGGGTGACACAGCAAGACAGTGTCTCAACAACAGCAACAAAAAGCAAAAACAAGAACAAACCGCATATTTTTTAAGCTAAAGAGATGCTTAAAAAAAACAAACAAACAAAAAATACAAAGAAAAGAAATCCACATTCCCATGAGTGTGGATTTCAAAATTGTGATTTCCAAATCAGGGTGCACTTGGTTCAGGTCTGTTCAGAAGCTGGCAGAGTGGCAAAGATCACAGCCATTAAGTGAAGGTTTTGTTGCCTTGTGGCCACACTGGTGTTTTTGCCTTAAAGATCACTAAGGATTGTGTTTTCTGTCTGAACTTTAACCTGGAGATGACGTGGCCTGATGCTTGTGTTCCAGGCTGAGCAGCTTGTGCTGTCGGGTGCAGACAGCGATGAGGACGCCTCCAGGGCTGCCCTGGGAAGGGTTTTGAACGTGAGTACTAAGGCCCCGGCAGGTGCTTCTGCTAACTGCCTGGAACTTCTTGCTTTGCGCAGCCTTCCAGAGGTGACATGATGGGCTAGTTTCGTTTCGGTGGTTTGTTTTCCATAGCCTAGATAGAGTTGGAAGCTGCCTGTTTTTCGTTTAGTTGCCCATGCTACTTTTGGAACATGTGGAATATTTTAGCTTCTACTTTTCTGTTTGGCAGTCAGCATGATGAGGAGAAGCCTTCATTAGGGTCACTGAATTCGTGCTTCCTGAAACTGCCGCCGTGCATCATAAGGGGTAGCCTGGTGGTTCTGGAGCTGCTCAGTCCTGCTTTCCAGCCCCATAGCTTTCAGCTGCTAAACTCTGTGCCTACCCTCTGTTCACAGAGCCCTTGAAAGGATTTCTGAAAACCACCTGTGCCCTCACATTGCACAGTTAGCATGTATAAAGTTTCTTCATACTTTTAAATACTCGAGAGAACATAATAACATCTTATAAATACTGACATTTTACATGTATCTAATAAAAGTTGGATGTTTACCATCACCTATTAAAAATGGCATGGACAAGCTCGTCTGTATCAGTAAGAAAGTTTACATTTTCGCTTTTTCTTGATTTCACATTTCCAGGTCAGTCCCTGTGTAAAATTTTTTTCTATTCAATTCATATTTTATGCTTGAAAATCTTTAATAATTACTTGAAGTAAAATATGTTATAAAATTAAAATATCTGTCTATATTTTTTATTTGATGTGATCATAAAACTGGAAGTAGAAAAATATTTTTCTGGGCTGAGTTCTCACAAAATAAAACAGTATAAATATATTACAGCTGTTGACATAGAATTGTTAAATACGGAAAGTAAATTTTCCTTGAAAAGACATTTATTAATAAGATGAAAAACAATTTTAAAAATTCCATATATCCATTGTGTTTGCACATGATTTACTGATAAAGCCAGAAGGGTTCAACATTAATTCTGGGCCTCTTCATTGCTATTGAAGTAAGTAATACTTGACATAGATAGTGCCTTTAAGTTCTTAAGTCCTCAGGATGACACGCCAAAAATCACAGAGACCTAGCCTCAAAAATTATCTCGAATGGTTCTTTAGCTATACCCTAATTAGATTACCTTTCAAATTTGTCAGTAGCTAAAATCTAGAGGCCATCTGACTTGCAAGGTGATTTGTTATTCATTCGCACTGGATATTGTATGAGAAAACAGATGCTGTATTAAAACTCACCCAGTGACAATTATACTTACTGCTTTTTTGCTCTACATACTCTTTTGGAGGAAAGAGGTGTGGCAATGGCTCTTTAAATCTGTTTTAAAATTTGGTTTTATTTTTGATTGATTCATCATGATTGTACATATTTATGGGGTACTGTGCGATGGTTTTGATGCATGTTTACATTGTGTAGTCGTCATCAGGAAAAGTACAAATCCATCACCTCAAACATTAATTATTTCCTCTTGGTAAGAACATTCAGAACCCTTTCTTCTAGCTGTTTTGAAATGTGTAATCATTATTATTGACTGTGGTCACCCCACTATACGATAGAACACCAGAGAGTGTTCCTCCTAACTGTAACATTGTACCTGTTGACCAACCTCTCCCCATCCTTCTTCTCGTCTCCTTTCCCCAGCTTCTCTCTACTTCTGTGAGATGAACTTTTTAGATTCCACGTATGGGAGCGTGGAATATTTTTCTTTCTATGTCTGAGTAATTTCACTTAACATAATGTCCTCCAGTTTCATCTATGTTGACACAAAATGACTTCTTTTTTAAGGCTAAATAATATTTTATTTTATGTATATATATATATGTATGTATATATGTGATATATATACACATATTTATGTATATGTATGTATATATGTGATATATATACATATATTTATGTATGTACGTGTGTACGTATATATGCATATACACACACACCACAGTATCAGTCAGGTTTTGTTTTAGAACTAGGTTAATTATAAAGTGTTCTTAGAAAAATAAACAAGCATGAATAAGGAAAACCCAGAAAAATATGAGGGATAGTTAAGCCTTACCAGCTTTAAAAATAGATTTTAACACCTTTATAATTACAATAATTATAAGTGCAATTACAGTAGCTCAGTGAAGCAGAATAGAACATGTAGAGCCGGTTGCATATCAAAACATGGTATATAAAAGGGTCAGCACGTCAAACCCATGGGGAAATAAACTGATGAGTAGAGCTGTGATCATCGAATAGCCATAAGGAAAAAGAAAACTATGTGTTTTCATAGTATACGGTAGGAAAAAACATCAAATGAATCAGAACTCTAAGTGGACAAATGGAAACCATATAAATATTAGCAGAAGATATAAGTGAATTCATCTATAAAATCAGATTAGACAATGCTTTTCTAACTATGACTAAAAATTTAGATGTGATATTGGAAAACATTGATAAATTTTTTAAATCCATTTTTAATTGTAGGTATACAGTAGGTATATATATTTATGGGGTACATGATCTATTTTGTTACCTCCGTGCAATGTGAAATAATCACATCATGGAGAATGGAACATCCATCCCCTTAAGCATTTATATCTTATGTTACAAACAATTCAGCTACACTCTTTTAGTTATTTAAAAATGTACAAGTAAGTAATTATTGACTACAGACACCCTGTTGTGCTATCAAATAGTAGGTCTTATTCATTCTTTATGTATTTTTCTGTACCCATTAACCATTCCCACCTCCCCGATGGGTTCCCCACTGCCTGTCCCATCGTCTACTCTCTGTTCATGAG